AAACGCATAAGTTCAAGAGACGGAGATCTCGTTGCATGTAGCGTATTGTTACTAATATTACAACGCTTCTGACCCAGCGAGAATTAATTTTGTAGGTTGCGAGGTACTTCAGGCTTCTGCTAGCCCGGTATCAGTTACGTCTCCTGTGCTTTGTAACATTTGCTCAGCCGTGAATATCGGGTTAAAGCTACGTTGCGCCATGCTAAATTAACTTACGAGTACATCGTCGATGTATGCGCGGAGTTCGAAGATAGCGATAATGCTGCTCGACCTTTCCTTAGTTTGCGTTGTGTAATATACACAACGTAACTTTCTACGTTTACATATTAAATTCAAGAGTGGTATTTTCGCGATAAAATCTTGTTTTTAAATCAAATTGACCTCTTGTTTTAAAACATCTTTGTAATGTATTTTTTTATTTATAACTGCATATTTTTTCTCCATATTTGAAGTCTCTGTTTACGGTTACATTTCTAGTATCTGAGTCGATCTGTTCTAATTATACGTAAGATTTATTATATGAATATTTTCATCATTATTTGATATATATTGACCATGTCGTTCAGAGCATTTTTCAACTTTGGATTGTTTTACTATTTGAAAGTTAAAAACTCTTTTTCAATGTATATTTTTATTTGCGCTTTAATTGTTTCCACTTTTTTTGTTTTGAAGCTATGAAAAATTTCAGAAAATTACGAGTTTCAACGGGTTAATTAATAAAAAATGTTATAAATAGACTATACTAAATTAGAATAGTTAACTTTCGCGATTAATTAGCGGAGACTGTTACTAATTTGAACAGAGCAATGTATAATTAAGAGAAATATGTTATTCTAATGCAAAAACATGATAACGCAATTTTCGTGATATATTTGCGGAAATGTAGATTTAGACATTTCTGTGACAGAGCACATTATTCTTTTACGATTACATCTATTGTTCCACACAAGTCAGAATTATCATCGTGAACTTTGCAATATTTATCGGATCGTGACCAGATGATTAGCAGTACGGTCGTGGATCAAGTTAAGCATGGAATATGTCGTTGTCGACACTAAGACGTGCTACTCAGGCGTTGCGAGGGTCTTGCGCGACATTCGCGCAAGGTAACGTTATTATACGGCTCCTCGTCTGGCGACGCACTCTCCCTCGATCGATGGAAAGACGCTTCGTCTGGGCTGCTCGAAAATACGAGAGGGAGAGAGAGAGAGAGAGAGAAAGAGCCACCACCATGGGGTTATACCCGACCAATGAGACGCGAGCCGCGCACTCGAGGGATACTCGTCGACATCGTAAAGAGCTCGACATTTAGATTTCCCCGCTCTTATACGTAAGAACGAAACGAGAGGAGGCAGGATCAATCTTTATTTCGGGTTCTCGGATTAATAAAGGATACATAGAGCGAAATTACTTCGGCCCTTAAGGATAATGCTGCGAGATCGGCCGGCATATTGATTTTGAGGATGCACTTGGAGAATAGAATATATGATCCCGCAAAAATGTTGCGCACAATTCTTTCTCGTCAAACGGAAACTAAGTTAATGTTTATTTATCTTCTATTTATCTTCTATTTTAGAATTAGATAGAATAAATTAAGAATTTTACCTCTTAAGAAGAATCTCTATCGAATTTAGAAATGTGATAAAAGTAGAGTGATAAAAAAGAGCACATATTTTGCTCTGTATATCTCGAAATTCACACCGTTCAACTCCATTAAATTGAATTTTTCGATTAGTTGTTATTGATAAAATAAATCTTGCAAATTGTTGACAATTTTGAACGTACTGTACTGTAATATAGAATTAGCCGAATTTGAATCACGTCTCTTTTATCTTTTAAAATTAAATATATAAGAATTGTAAAAAAGAATACAGTTTAATTAATTTTTTGCTAGAAAAAGATCGACTTTATGTCAATAAAGAGTTGCAGATAAAAGCACCGGTTGAATTTGTTCGAGACGAGTATACACGCGCAAAACTTGTATACATTTCGAAGATGCTCCCTGATATCGCTTTTCCCTTCCCCTCTGGCTTTTAAGGAGGAAAATTAGTATCGTACTGCGCTTTGTGACGCGAGCTGCGACGTAAACGAAGCGAATGTAACGAGAGAGATTCCACGCGCGATAGACTCCAGTTTAAAAATGAAATTTGATTCAACTGAAAGCTGCTCTCCACAAGCTGCTTCCTAATTATTAATTACGCCTAGCGTCGTATATCAGCCTTTTATGACAAGTTAACGTGAAACTTTGAGTCACATCCGGCGCGTAATTAAACCAGGCTCAATAATATTACACCGCCTTGTCTTGATGTAACGCACCATCACCTCG